TACTCAAGGACCAGGAGAAATTAAGCTCCATTTCCTGGAGTGTGGAGTATCTATTTGCACTTCTGTATAGAAGATTTTTCCCTTCTCCCCATTTATTTATTAATTATTCAGTCACTTAATTATACCAATATGGACTCATCTATATTTGTTTTATTCCTAGCGTTATGATCTGGTATTGTTATTTATTTTGTTGCTATTGTTCCAGCTTTGAGCATTGGAAATTCTTTAAGTTTGGCTCTTGTATCCTTTTGACATACCCCCATCTTTTTTGTTTACCCAGTTATTTTCATAATGTTATAGGGTATTATGATATTAATTCAATGTTATATTGAATTAATGACTATGTGTATAGCAGTGATAAATTTTAACCCATCATTGAGGTTCCATTTTAAAGCATTAGATGAGTTAGAATGGATGTTTTTATGAGTCCCTTAAATATATGCCATTTACACTAAAAGGAAAAAATTTGATGAATAAGTTTACTTTTCATTGAGAAAGTTAAATCATGTTAAAAGTATATTCAAGTAAATAGTTCCTTTCTAACCAACTCTACAACTTGATAAAAGTAATGTAAGTCAAAGAAAACTAAGTTCTCAAATTATAGAATAGAGTTAGACCATAAAGAAAGGTCTCAGTGACCTTTGAGAAGGCAGTGCTAATACTGTACCTAGAGTTTTAGAAAGAAGATATGGTAGAACTGTGCCAGTATTCACAGATTTAGTCCTTATAAAACTGTCAGATGCCTTACCCTTGCTTGAGAAATCTAGGTTAAAGACAGAATGTCCTGAGGCTGGGTGCCATGGCTCAAGTCTGTAATCACAACTACTTGGGAGGTGGTGATCCCAAGGATTGCAGTACAAGGCCAGCCCTGGCAAAAAGTTCACAAGATCCTATCTCAGCCGATAAAAACTGGTGGCTTTTATCCCAGCTACATGGGAAGCCTAAATAAGGAGAATTGAGGGCCAGCCTGAGCATAAATGCAAAATCGTATTGCAAAAATAGCCAAAGTAAAAGGGGCTAGGGGTGTGGCTCAAGTTGTAGAGCACCTCCCTAGCAAGCTCAAAGCCATGAGTTAAAAAAAAAAAAAAAGTTTTAAAAAGAGTGTTCTGCAAGGGAAAAGTCTGAAAAAGACAAGTTGTATAGACTAACCTTAAATTTTATAAGTAGGATTGCCATTAATTAGGTCATAAAATTATGAAATCTCATAAAATATGTTTTAAAGATTTCAACAAAGTTGAGAAAATTTGAGTATAACTTTAAATGTGGGTAAAATAAGCATTGATGATAGTGAAACAGGAATGAAAAAAGCCTTGCAAAGATGTTCCTGTGAGTTTTTAGAAGAAAAAAAAGGAAATACTTAAGTACAAAGAGATTTAAAAATATTGATGATGTTTGAGTAGAATGGGAGAAGGCAAAGATTCAGTGTGGTGGGTAATTACACCTTCAGAAGAGAGTCTGGAATTTCTGGAAGATGCACACAATATTAGTAATGTATCATAGCAAAACCATATGGCTATCGCTCTCATTCTCTTTTCTTGAGGTGAAGGTATTCTCATTTTACCTTTCAGTATTACTAAGTCTAGGACATCTTTTATAAATATGAAGGCAGTACAAATGAACATTTAAGAAAAATCCTCAGCTTTAAAGAGAGTCTAGTACTAAAAAACTAGAAAGTCTAATCTCTGAGTAATAATTCTCTGAGGTGAACTTATATGTAATTATTATCTGGAGATAGATTCAAGTGTATATATTACAGAGAGGTTGCATAGCATACAGGCTATAGTAATTTGTAACATTAGCTTTGGGGTCAGACCATCTGAATTTGAAACCTGAATTTGCCACTTACTAGATGTTAGGGTCTCAGTGTGCCTCATCAATAAGACAGGAGTCATAATTTTACCTAATTCATAAGGTTGTCTTGAGAATTAATTGAATGAATGTTTAGAATAGTACTAAAACATACAGTAAGCATTCAGTAAGCACTATTTTTACAATAATTATACTATTTGCTGGAATGAAAAAGAATCAATTACAAGTCTATAAACAGTAGAAGAGATGATTATTGAAATAAACTCATTTAGTAGACATACACAATTGAAGATCAAGTTAGTGAGTTGGATGATCAAGCCAAGGGGTTTTCTCTGAACAAAATGTCAAATGAAAAAGAGATGAAAAGTATAAAAGGAGACTCTACAAGTTTTTACATTTATCTAGTAGTTCACACTGAAAAATATAAGAGAAGAAATAGAATTTTTTTTTGGTGATGCTAGGGATAGAACCCAGGCCATGCAAAAGCTAAGCAAGAACTTTACCACTGAGCTATACTCCAACATCTTATATTTCTTAATATATATTAAGACTCAAATACTGGAAGAGTTTACCAACTGCTTAGCAGAATTAATAAAAAAAAGTTCCATACTTAGACTTATTCATGTGAAAGTCTGTAAAGACAAAGACAAAGAGAAAATCATAAAAGCTTCCAGAGGAAAAAAATTAGGTTATCTACACAAATGAAATTGACACTAGACTTCTTACCAGCAATATTAAATGATAGAAGATTATGGAAAGTAGCTTTGAAATTCTGAGTGAAAATGATTTGAACCTCAAATTCTGTTTTTAGCCAAATTAGCCTCCAAAATTCACACTAAAACCAAGGCATTTCTGGAATGTTAAGACTCAAACATTTTTTAAAAGAAATCTTTTGAAGAAGACAAGTAACAGAAGGATATAGGCTATAGGAAGCAATGATAAACTAGCAAACTTAGGGCTAGTCTAACTAACTTAAAATGTTTTTATGAAGTTTAAGGCATATTATAATAATAACAGCAATTTTGGGAGCTACTGGATGATTTCTACAAATCTTGAAAGAAGGGAAGAGGAGAGTATAGGTTTTTGGTATTACTACTATTCTTAAGTGTAACCCAGGCTGGCCTTCAACTCAAAAGACTTATATTTAAACTAAAGTCCTTCTCTTTAAACAGTGGTAGAATTGAGAACGTACTTTTTTTGTTTGGGGACGATTAATAAATTTCACGTAGTGTTGATGGAAGTGTATGTTTAAATATGCTTGCCAAAATGGAGTGGCAAAAATATTTTAAGGGTGCCCACCAAAGGAACAAAATGGGTTATACAGTTTCCAAGTCAATAGAGTAGGATCAACAAACTTTATATCGAGGGCTAGTGAAGTACTTTAAATGGTGGATCAAATTGTCTCTTTTGTACCTATCACACCCTACCCTTATAACGTGGGTGTAGCCATGAATGGTATACATAAACAAATAAGGACAGCCATGTTCCAGTAAAATGTTTATAAGTACCAACGTTTTAAACTTCATGTAATTATCTAATTTGTGGGCCATACCTAAACAGACAGTGGACTGGATTTGGCTCATGGTGGATAGTTTGTTGTTTTCTCCATTAGGGCAATGAATACTTAATTTCAACTAAAGATAGTAAAAGGGAAAAAATGAGAAGGGAAATAAGTATAACAAACTGGAAACATGAAAGATGTCAGAAAGAGAAAAGTGGCACTAATAAATGTGAATGGAGTAAACTTTTCTATAAAGACAAGATTCTGAGATGGGGTGGGTATAGCCTAAATTATAATAATGTATAGGTAAGTCATAGTTTATACGATAGAATAGTGCTCCTTGTTTTCAAGGAACTGCCACTTACCCCAGCAACTGAAATAGTGAGTATATTATAAAGTATGCATGGCAGTAAGGGAGGTGGACTCTCATGGGTATTTAAGAGATGGATCCATAGACTGAGAAGATTTGTGGAGATCAGAAGTACCTTTTCTTATGAGTCCTAATCAGCTTTAGGTGGCCCCACTGATCAGCAAGTTTTTGACCTTCACTACCATGTGTTCTATTTTCTGCTCAACTGTCTCTGCTGCTTTGTCATGCTGCCAGCATTGTTTTCCCATGGTGAAATTTCTGAGGCCCAGTGGACATTTGCTGCTGAGACAGTGACTGTGTTTGACCCACAGTTTTCACACTTCATAGGTTATTGCACAGACGATGGATTGGCTTACACAGTAGTTCTAGACATTGTAGCCAGGGAGAGTTAGGCAGGCATCTAAACAAGGCTATCTGGGCTGTCTCTAAGCAGCAAGGGGAAAGACAGTATGAGCACAGTATATATTCTGATGAACATGTTTAGTAGCCTCTGTGAATAAAGCCTGAAATGTCTAACATTGAAAATAGCAGTTACATTTAGAGATTGAGTCATACAGGAAAGGAAATAATAGAATGCTTACATGATCTGAGAACAGTTCTTTGCTTACTACTTAGTAAGCCTTATAATAAATATTCTTTCATCTCTTGTAGGTAGGTTGGTTAAAATGTTCAGTTAGGATTCTGAGAATCTTGGATGAAATAGTGATAAATACCAAGAAAACTTACTGGCTTGAAATTTTAATAGCTAGTTTTGTCTTGAAATAGGTATGTATGTGTGTGTTATGGGATTTGAACTCAGGGCCTCATATTTGTGCTCTGCCATCTGAACCATACCGCCATTCCCTTTTTGCTTTAGTTTGTTTTTTAGATAGGGTCCTCAACTTTTGTTTGAGCCAGTCTCACACCATGATGCTCCAATCTTGGCCTCCCAAGTCACTGGAGTTACAGGTGTGCACCACCATGCCAATTTGGTTTTTGAGAGGGTCTCACTAACTTTTTGTTTGGGCCAACATCAAACCATGATCCTCCAACTTCAGCCTCCCAAGTAATTGGGATTACACATATGTACCACCATGCCCTAATGAAAAAAGGTTTTTGAAAATTTTGCAAACTTCAGAATTACCAAACCACTTTAAAAATATTCTGTGGTATATGTGTTGTTTATTTAACCCAAGATTAGTGCTAAATTTATGGTATGTCCTGTAATGCTTATTACAGTATTAAATAACTTATTGTAAAATCAAAAAACTTGAAATGTGACATTTAAAATTGAATATTGGTAAAGAAATTGTTTGCAAATGCTTGTTAAATTCATTCTAGGTTGGGCCATGCAAGCTGCTGCCTATGTCTTTATTCACAGGAAGTGGAAGGATGACAAGAGCCATTTTGAAGACATGATTAGTTATTTTTGTGATATCCATGAACCACTTCAACTCCTCATATTCCCAGAAGGGACTGATCTCACAGGTAAGGTAGCCGGGTTTGGATCACAGAATTTTAAAACATGAAGGAATTAGAAACCTGTGAGTCAAAGCTTCTTATTCTGCAGCTGAAGTAACGGAATAGCAGCAGGATTAATGAAACATCCTGAGGTCACTCAGTTTATCAGCAGCCTGTCAGGACCCAGGACACTGGGTTTCCACCCCATTGAACTTATTTATAGTTGACCACAAGAGACCATTGTTATTCATGCTTGCTATCCTAGGGCTTTGTATTTTAAGCCTTGGACTATATTTAAAATGCCAACCTTTTATCTTTACATAAGCTGAATTTAAAATCTTGTTTTCATAGTTTATGTTCGCCTATCTATTCTGTATATTCGCTTGTATTTATTTATCTATCCTTTAAATACTTTTTCCTTTCAACTTCTTCCTTATAAGAAAATAATCTTAGGAACTCAGGAGGTAGAGATTGGGAGGATCAAAAAGAAAAAAATATGGAGGATAATATTGGCTGCCTATTTTAAGCTTGAAAAAAGATCACAGTAATTGTGTTATGAGTTGATTGATTCCCAGAGTTAAACTATCACTAGGAAATTATAGCTGACAGATAGCCACACTTAAATTTCATAATATTTAGAATGTATAATAACTAAATTTGGATATTGAAATCTCAGCTTCATTTGATAAATACAGGGTATAAAAAGCCATTTACTGAAACAGTAGCCTGACTTATATTTGTAAATGTCAAATTGTACACTAAAGAGCAGCAGTTTTGGAACTTATTAAATACAGGCTAAAGGCAAAAGGTCATGTATTGCCGATCCTCTGGAACAGTACTATTAATATGCTCTTACGTTAGAACTTCCGAGTCTATAAAATACATTTGAAACATTTTTTCTGTGTTTTTTTCATGTTTCTTTTATGGGTGATAAGCCTTACATCTAGTTGCAAATGCTTGGAGTCTAGAGTACTCCCCCATTACATGATATTTTTGTTAGTGTGTATTAATTATCCAAAGGGGTTTCATTGTTATTTAATATTTTTATAAGCTAAAATGATATTCACATTTTAAGGGCAACTTGCAAAAACCAGACTATTTGCCATATACAGAAGCTTTAAAAAGTTAGCATTTTTATCTTTTACAAAATTACATAATTTTTTGAGTTAAAAAAATGATTTTTTAAAAAAGCTAACAAAGTATCTCTAATTGGAAAAAAGTGTTAATTAAAAAGTGTTTTTAATTACAACAGTTGACTTTAAACATGGCTTTTTAAACTCAAAAAGGACATTTATAATCCACTTGTAAGTTCTGAATTCAATTTACTTGCATATTGTCAAATGAGTCCAATTGAATATGACTTTGCATACATTTTGGGTTCATATATTATTATTGATTATAACTTTTTCTTGTTAATAGAAGTAATGTATGCTAATATTGGGAAATTTAGAACCTTACAGAAAAATTACTATAGTTCCACTGCCCACAATTTAACATTATTTGAATTTTGGTCCATTTTGGGGGAGTCATTTGGTCACAGATACATAGCATACATGCATATATTCATAGGAATCTATATTTGTATACACATGTACATTGTCTTAAAATTGGAAAATTGAAATCTCACTTTGCCTTTTTTTCACCTAATGTTGTATTGTAATCTTTCACATTTTTATTCTTTGTAAAGATTAGGTAGTTTTATATTATTTTGGTGTGTTAGGGTTTTCCAGAGGAATAGATCCAATAAGATAAGTATATATATAGAGATTGAGGTGTATTTTAAGGAAATGGCTGTCACAATGATGGAGGCTAGGCAAGCCCAAGATACACAGACGGGCCTGTGGGATGGAGGTCCAGGGAAGAGTTGCAGTTTGAGTCCAGGGGTAGTCTGGAGGCAGTCCTTCTTCATTGTGGATAGGGGGATGACATCCCTGTTTCTTTTTGTTAAAGCCTTCAACTGATTTGGTGAGGACTATCCACATTTTGGAGAGTAGTCTGCTCTACTGAATCAACTGATTTAAGTATTAATCTTGTCTAGAAACTACCTTCACAGAAACATCTAGAGTGTTTAACCAAACACTTGGGTACTGTGACTTAGTCAAATTGACACATAAAATCACAAAAAATACCCATCATGCTGTACTGATTTAGAAAGGAAGGTATTGCCAGGCTTTAACAAATACAATATTGTACATAGTTTGACACCCCATACATAAAACTTCCTCATTATATGAGGAAAGAGATAATAAAATAGTGAGCTAATATGCATGGTTGTCATAGGTGCTGTGTAGAAAAATAAAGCAGGATAAGTTGATAGAAAGCAGTTGTGCTATTTTCTTTAAGATGGTTAGAGCAAGCGTCTCTAAGTAGGAACTAAATGCACAAAGCACAAGACTGGGGGTAGGGGAGAGAAGGAGATGGAGATCATCCTCTGGATAAAGACAAGAATAACTGAACAGACTCTAGGCAGGAACCTGCCTGTCTGGCTGAAGAAGTGCAAAGTGGCCACAGTGTCATGGGTGGAAGGAGTGTTGGAGTGGGAGAGGTACAGGGAGTGAGTGGACAGGAGGTTGAGGTCAGAAAATAGGATGCTGGTGCACTTACTAATAACAGAGCCTGGGAATAGGTAGATGAAGTGAGAGTGGAGGGAAGACCTGCAAACTAATCTCTGGTTGTTTCTGCCTTCCCACATGGTAAAGGTATAGATTAGAACTATTTCTATTTGCATTCTTGTCTACAGTAAAATTCAGGGAATCTTCAGATTCCCTGGAGTATCTGACAAACTGGAAAGATAATGAGTAGTTAGTTATTACTCATCTTCATGGTGTTGCTGGAATTCCCAGTCACATTTAAGGTCTGTTGCCTGCCTTTAATAGATACTTTATTTTGTAGCTTCATGCCCAGAATATTCTCAGATGAATGGTAGAGCAGCTTATTACTTTTGTTGTTTAAGGCCTTCCCTTTTTAATTGCTGGGGAACTGTGGGTATTTGGCTCAATTCTTCTATTGTAAAATGATGCAACACCTAAAAGAGTGTTCAGTGAATAGGTGGAATGCATCTGAGGTTTTTGGAGCTTTGGGGGAATCTGTGATCTTAAGTTTTCTCCTACGAAAGTTGTATTTTTCTTGTGCATGGAACAATAGTCTGTAAATTTCAAAATGCAACTGAGGATTGCAGGTTCTAACATCTGCTGTCATCAGAAGGTACTTCATGATCTCTCCCAGCAACTGAGGCCAAATTTCTAAACACTTTACTTTTTCCAAATGTGTTTGCTAAATAATGGGTTTGGTTCTTCTTGGAATTTTTACCTCATGGAATGGAAAAAGAAGTTTTTGCCAACAGTTGGAACATATACTTGACTGTATAACTGTATTCAGCCAAACCATGTTCAGATGTTTGTACATGATGCGCTAATCATGTATCCGTTTTGTTGGGGAGTGGTTTTGGTTAGCAATGTTAGCCTACTCTGTGCCTGAGCAAGGGAGATACTTCACTTTGCTCTGAAAGTGTAATTATTGAGTTAAAAATGTCGATCTCATATATTTGGTTGCTAGTTATTTCTTTTGGATGCATAGATCTTATATAGTGTTAGAGTTTTAGTCTATTAGCATTTTATATTTTAGCATTTTAATTTTTATTACATAAGGGTCATTTCTATGAAAATTTTAGTTTATTAGTATTTATATTTCAATTTTCATTGACTATTGACTTTTATGAAGTCTTCTAAAGAATTTTTAAGGATTTGCATCTACCTTTTGGGAAAGTTATGTACATTTTAAGAATTCCATTAGCTTGGTCTGGGATCTTTTTATAAGGGACTATCTAAAGTGTTTGTATCATCTCAGTATACTATATTCAGTAATCTCAGGACATTTAAGTGGCTTTATGGGGGGGCAGTACTAGGATTTGAACTCAAGACTTTGTGGGCACTCTGCTTTGGGCCAGGCCTCCAGCGCTTTTTGCTAGGCCTCCAGCGCTTTTTGCTCTGATTATTGTTAAGATAGGGTTGGCTTGTTGCTGCAGGCCACCTGGACTGTGATCCTCCCATTTATGCTTCCCAAAGTAAACAGGTGCATGCCAGCATGCCCAGCTTTTTCTACAGAGATGGGGTCTCATGAACTTTTTGTCCAGGCTGGCCTCGAACAGCAATCCTCCCAATCTCAGCCTCCTAAGTAGCTAGGATTATATACATGAGTCATCAGCACCTAACTTAACTGCCATTTTTATCTAAGAAATTTTGCATGTCTTCCCTTACCTCACTGTCTATTATTTTATGATTCTAACGGTCTATTATTTTGTTTAGAAAATAGCAAGGCTCGAAGTAATGATTTTGCTGAAAAGAATGGACTTCAAAAATATGAATACGTCTTGCATCCAAGAACTACAGGCTTTACTTTTGTGGTAGACCGTCTAAGAGAAGGTAAGCACCCATCTCAAAATGTACTTTCTTACCAAAAGTTGCTAAACTTTATATACAGCTATTTACTCTAATTTGTAACAAGCCTTATTGTATAATGTTAACATCTGTGACAAACATCACTTTTTTCTGGTTATACTGTCATAAAAACTGCCTGTGTCTAAAGTTAAAGGTCTTGAGCTATTATGTAAAAAATATCATAAACTTCTTTCCCTAAATAACTGGCATCACTGTTGACCCTTTATGGTATAATGTGCTTTAAGATACAAGTGCAGTGTTCTAAGGTGAAGCTTGCTTACAACTAAGTACCTATGATTTTAAAGAAATGTACTCTACCAATCCAAAATTATATTGGTATAGGAAACCAAAACTCTTGTCCCTATTAGTTTGACTTGTTTTTTAATTTCTTTACTTATAACTAATATGGCATGGATTTGTGGGCCTTATAATTGCATTGTCTATGACTAGTGAGTGCCTATGTACCTGCAGAAGCTCTTGGTGAGCGTGGTTCTGCATGCCTGAGGAGTGGGGTGAACAAAACACCAAGACGTTAAGGTAGTGATGCTTCTTTATTTTTCTTAATGTGGTACCATTTACTGTGGCATCTAACTTAGACTCACCATTTTCAGCCAACAATATGGTTTCTGTTTTATGGTGTTTAATGACTTTTCTAAAGGTATTTCTGTCATCATGGAACACATTCATTTACTAAGATTCCTTGTTAACTGTGGCTTTGGAACACATCTTTTGTGAATAAAGATCTTCCTAAATGTAGGCAGAATAATTAAGAGATTATTTTATAGTGGATAAGGATATATCTATAAAGCTCTCTTCTGAAATCTAAAAAATATTTGAATAAAAAACTGATTTTTAACTTTACTACACATTAGAAGAATGCATATTGTACTCAAAGCACTCATTAACAACCACAATTAGTTTTTTTCCCTCCATCAGAACTGGCAACTGGCCCCCCAACCCCTGTGTATAAGTTGAGAGAGAAAGAAACATGATCCCGTTTGTGTCAGAAAACTAGATGATAACTTATATGATTCTGTTTATTTCATTTAGAAATATGTACTGTTACCTTTAATAATAAAAATAAGAAATATGTTGATAGTAATTGCTGACATTAATTGAGCATTTACTAAGTATCAGGCATTGTACTAACTATTTTTTATGCCTAAATTCAATTAATCCTCATTACAACCCTACACAGTAAGTAAGGTTGTGGTAGTTACCACTTATGCAAAATCTGCAGAAATTGAGGTAAAGAATTTCACCAGTTACTGAAATACAGTTTGTCTAACTGAATAACACATACTCTTTCTACTAGAACTTCTTGCTTCTTGTATTTATAGTATCTTACTAAAGTGTCTAAATCTTAAAGCGTCTTTGTAACAGTAGTGAGCTAGATGATCTTCAAGAAAGAATTTAGAAGAAATTACCATTATAATTAATATTCCAGGGGAATCCTGGAGACCACATATTAAAAACAAATTACTCTGAAGCACTTTCTTTACTATTCGCACTGGTAACTGAACTCCATTGTTTCAGTTTCAGGCAGTTTGCACAGGTGGACAAATGAGAAATTTAATGCACCAAGGAAGTTAAGGATAAAGTCTTAGGAACTGTTGATTAAGAGGAGAGGCAGAATAAGGAAAGCAGTTTCTGTGTCTCTGCTCAGTGTATTTCACCAAGATTGAGAATAGTTGAAGACTACAGTTACCTTAAAATATGATACCAATTATATGGCATTATAGAAATATGTTGTTTCTGTATACTGACTATAAAAAGTCTTCCCTGAGAACCTTGACTGCTCATTATTTGTGTACTTACTTTATAGTCCTGCTAGATCATAACCTTTTTGAGGCTGTGGAATGCCCTGCACAGAAAGATGCTGAAAAGTAAGACAGCATAGCGTGTTCTTCTCAGAGCACCATGTATTACAGTGACAGATGTGTGTCATGGGTGCTTTGTTTTATAGTACCCCTAACCACAGAACCAGTCAACATATGAGCATGTATTTTTTTTTAATACTAGAACAATACAAACTTAAAATTTGTCAACCTAGTGGAAAGAAGCTTCACGGGAGGAAGATTTTTTTTGTTGTTTTTATGGAGCTATAATGAATTTATAACATAGTTTTAAACCTTTAATTGCACAAAAATTATTTATAGTCATCATCATCTGCTTATTTGTCATTTAAAAAAATATCTTAATTCTTCTTGGTTTTCCAATAAATGATTTGGTCCACCCATTCTTTGATTTTATTGTACATTTTGTAAGCCAATTACTCAGTTGTAACTATTCAATAATTACTTTCACCATTAGGCGGCACAAGTGTGCACATTTGGAACAACTTGAAGTAGGCTAGGGTAAATAGGAGAGGGTAATCAAATATATTTCTTTCAGAGTGTGACCTATTTGAAATGTGACATTGTCTTCAAAAATTTGTAGTCTTCATGTATAGCTAAGAATGCTACACATTGAAAAGTCTAAAAATGTGAAACTATAGTTAAATGCTAAGTTTTATGGTATATAATATATGATATTATGCTGAATAAGTGCAAGAATATCCCGTAAAGAGACATCATATAGTACTGAAATGTTCACGTAAGGCTTCTGAAAGAAGCATAATGTCCCTTGGACGTTAGAGACTAGAAGTGACTTAACTAGGCAGAAAACACAAGGATGACTGAGAAAGAATATAAATAAGGATACAGACTCAGGTCCTGTAGAGACCAGAGCAGTCACCTTGGAAACATCAACCTGATGGAACTGAAGGCTTGGGTTGTAGTGTAACAGACAATAACTAAGAAGGCTATTTGGAGCCATTAGTATTTAAAAATTTAATGCCCCGAATAGTCATGATTTTAGTTTGTTTTTACATTAGGTCACACAAGAAAATCAGCTCATTTATTACAACTCTGCATCATCAAGTAGATATATTTAAGTTGTATGTTTGAAATCAGTAAAAATTTTTTAGTTTAAAGTAAAACGTCTGTATTTTCATTCATATTTATCTCATATGCATAAATGCTAAATAGAAAGAAATGAAGATATGGTCTTTCTACTAATCTAGGGTATATAGAGAAACTCTGTAAAGAAAATGTAAATTCTTCACTCTGTATTCAAGGAGAGAATTTCTTATTGAACTCCCAGTTCCATATGTGGTATCTGATGGACCTGTATTTAGCTCTCTCATTTTGGCCTACAGTAGTTGTCGTTTCCTTTGAGAAAATTGGAAGCAAAGCAGTATAACAGTCTTAGATAGCTCAGTCTTCAACAGTGTGGTTGGATCGTTTTTAATTCTTGGAATTTTTGCTTAGTTCACAATTACATGCAGACAGTCCATTTGATTTGTTGTCCATAATGGCTTTGTGTAGTAAGGGACTAAAGATGGTCAGCAGAGGCTACCACTCAGTGTGGCACACGCTTCATTTATTTGAGTCAGCAAACCCCTCTTAGGATTGCATTTCAGTTACCCTTCCTAACTGTCAGCATGTTAAAAGGGGCAAGGAAAAAAGGCAGACAAACTATTGAAATACTGGGTGCATTATATGCCACGTACTCTGACCTTTTCGTGTGGCTTTTGATTGCTGGAAACCATTTATGAAATACAAAGACCTTTCCCTTAAGTTAAAAAAAATGTAATTGTACAATAGACCTTTGACATTTGCTGGAATATTTTCCAAGACCTTTTCCATGCCCTAGATTTGTAAATATCTTTATAGATTAGCAGTTGACTTTCTTTTGAGGTCATTTTATGAGGAACAAATTTTTTGTTGAAAACCTAAATGAGATTTGGATACTAATCAGTGAGTAAGCAAAACAGGTCACCAAAGTGACTTTGTGATTTACACATCATTAAACAAATTATTCAAATTTGCCTCAGTGTAATGATACATTACCACATGTCAGAGACCTTTGAGTTCTCTTCATGTTGACTCTCCAAATGCCACGGTTTAGACCAGAAATGGCATTTCTCTTGTTTTCTTTGTTCATTTTACTCCCCACCCAAGCAAAATATATAAATATATATAAGCTATTCATTTAGAACAGATGTTGTCATTGTGTTTAATGAAAAAGTCGTGACAGATGTAATGAAAATGATAAAAGTCTTGTATTTATATATAGAAACAACCATCTAATGTTAACTCATACCTGTCATGTGCCAGGCATTGGGTTGTGGATGTGTTTCTTTATCTTGCCCCTGCAGTAGAATCCCATGAAGCTTTTTGAAAACATAGATTCCCACATCCAAGCCCAGATCTGCTGAATCAACCTGGTGGTAGCTTTCTGGGCTTATACCTACCCCCAGCCATTCTCGCATTTAATTCTCCTAACTGATCAGGCAGTAGTTTGCCTCATGCTACCCCAGTGGAGACTTGTTCCCTTGAGCAGTTTTCCCAGTGTTGTATGGCTCTGAGTAGGGTACCATTATTTAAAGTCAGGTCTGCTTGATGCTAAATAAGGCCAATGCTTTTCTCACTTTAAGTTTATAGTTTTTCTATTCCCAAAGCTACAAAAATGTATTCCTTGTAGGACTACATTCTGAGATCTCTGATCTCTTTGGCTGTATTGTGAGTTTTAAGGGGAAAAATATATAAAGGATTTCCTTTATAGTGGCCTGTTTTATTTCTTATTCCTTCATTTGCTCTCTAATCTTTAGAGAACACTTGGAAGACACACACTTATCTTAAAATATAGCATAAATTATGTAACACTGTACAAGTAGGTTTGTTTCTCAAGCAACAATTGGAAATAGTATACCCTGGATACTTGATACCTACAATTCGTTTACTTTCTTTTTATTTCTACTAGCGTATAAACAACAGCAACAAAAGTGCCTTTCAAGTTGTGGCTCCATCTTTTTATTTTTTTAGCCATTAAATCTCAAAAATACCTTCATGACTTGGATTTCTCTGCATAGGCTCACTTTCTGTTAAAAAAAGTTATGATTGTATTTATTTTTATTATAAAAAGAACATTTATTATGAAGT